ATGGCTATATTTATGTATCTCAGGTACTTATTGGCTTAGAATCCTCAAACTTTGTTTGTTTATGCCTCTTGGGTTTTCAGAGAATGTCCGCCAAAAAGTAGGTCACGGTGACCTACTTTTGAATATCTCAGGTATTTATTGGTTTAGAATTATAAAACTTTGTCAGCAGATTCATCTTGGGACTCTAAAAAATGTTGACTAAAATGTAGGTCATGATAACCTTCTTTCGACATTTTATGGCTATATTTAAGTTTCTCTGGTACTTATTGGCTTAGAATCATTAAACTTTGTCAGTTGATGCATCTTGGGTTTTGGAAGAATGTCGACCAAAAAGTAGGTCACGATGACCTACTTTTGACATTTCATGGCTATATTTAAGTATCTCCAGTACTTATTAGCTTAGAATCATCAAACTTTGTTAGTTTATGCCTCTTGGTTTTTCGGAGAATGTCGACCAAAAAGTAGGTCACGGCGACATACTTTTGAATATCTCAGGTATTTATTGGCTTAGAATCATCAAACTTTGTCAGTTGATGCATTTTGGGTTTTCCAAGAATGTAGACCAAAAAGTAGGTCAAGGTGACCTACTTTATAATATCTCAAATACATATTGGCTTAGAATCTTCAATCTTAGTTTGTCTATTAATGCATCTTGAGTCATCAGAAAACTTCAATCTTAAAGTAGGTCACCGTGACCTACTCATGTTTTTTTTTATAGCTTTATTAAAATATCTTCAGTCCTAATCTGCTAAGAATCATCAAACTTTTTATCAGTTGATGCAACTTAGGTTTTAGGATACTTAGGGTTAGAGGCTTCAAATACAAGTGATAGGTTGTACAATTTTTCAGAAGAGCGATTCAAGGCCCTTGGGCCTCTTGTATTTTCAAATACATTGTTTAATAAATTGGATAACATTTTAAAAAAAACATGTTACATTTTAAAAAGAATCTTTAAACTTTTGCAGAAATCAACATATAATTAAGGAATGTTTTTAAGTTTTGTTTGAGTTTTTGGTGTGTGAATCACACAGACTTGTCACGTAGGCATATTTCATGAAGCGCGATAGGTTTTGAAAAGATATTATTTGATGAATTAGAATTCTTGTATAATTCCAAGAAAAAAGTTATTCAATACCCTGCCTATGCCATCACGTACACAATGCATGAAGCATGACAGTTTTCATACATACCTTTTAAAACATGCAATATTTTTAGTACAAAAAAGAAAGAGGAAGAAAGATTATCTTCCGCACAAATAAAAATTTACTAAAATCCTCATTATAGCTTATATTTATTTTCTTTAACGATTAATATGTTTTCCAGGAAATTTTACTTTATTTCTGATGACCTGATTACTGCCATTAAAAGTGCGCCCAGTAATATTGATTAAGCATCTGTTTTACAAAACTGCGTAGGAAGTTCCCATCAAATAGTTGTAAGGAAGGAGTTATATATTGATTCAGTGGTTTTAAAAGAGACTTAAATAAAGTATATTCTGTCAAAATAAGGTACTTTTCCAACATTTTGCTTTCGAATGGAGGGGATAAAATCCATAATAAAAGAAGTCCATCCTTCTACAATAAAATATTTTTTATCAATTTGTTTCGTGAAAAAAAAATAATGTATCACCAGTCACTGTAGTTAACTTTCTATGTTCTGGATTTATTTATTTATTTATTTTTTGCATTTTTTGTCTGTATAAGAGAAACAGGAAGCAATACATGTTTATGCTTTGAGCACTGATTTTTTAAAACATGGGACATTTCTGGCGTTAACAAATTCTACCTGTCTATTGCTTGCACCTACATATTTAGAAAAATATAACATATTATAAACGTCCTGTCAAAGTTATGCTGTTGTAATTCAAATCGATGCCTTGTTCATGTAAACTTTGAAAACAGATTGCAAGTACTAACTTTACTTTCAAATAAAACATTTTCTCCCCTGAATTTTAAGTTACTCTGTTTCTTGTATTAAATTTCATCAATTGGTCTTCCATAGTAAAGCTTATAAAACATGTTATAAAAACCTATTTGTTTTATACTAATTTGATCTCATTTTCCCTGTAAACATACAACAGACATCCATAGAAAAGCTTTTAAAAAATTGTGTTTGACATGCGGCAGGAAAAATTAAGCATATATTTCAGTTAAAGTGACTTAAACGGATAACCATGGTTCCTTTGCAAAACAGGTTCTATGAGCAATGAGCTCAATAAATGATACCCCTTGCCTCCCATATGATTATACTCGTAAAGTGCATTGTTTTCCTCTGGGTAACCCGAAATAAGTCTCATGCAGATCAAAAAGTAAAATAAGAGGTGCACAAAGCATTCTGTAACAAATAATAAGTGAAAGTATCGTTACATATTTGTATCAGTGGTATTATAGAGGTTGCGGATAAGAGATGGATACCTTTCAATATTACAGAAAGAATGGCAGGTCAATGTTCTGTTATGGGAAACCCGAATTATGTGTCTGAAAAAAAAAATTTTAAAAAAAAGGTGCACTACGGCTTGTATGTGACAAACATTCTTTGAGAGTCTCATTAAATTTCATTCAGTGGTATAGGGGAAGTTGAGGATTAACGATATGTACCAAAAAGCGTAACAAACTCACAGACCTACAGACAGACAGACGGACGGACGTAAAGACAGGCAGAACACCACATTCACTATATGCCCTCCCAATTTTCAAACGGGTGTATAATCAAACTTCAGGTTGAGTTTGTTACATCTTAGATTATCACTGGATTTTCTTTTCCTTTCCAAAGTCAAGGAAAAATTCTACGCAGTTTTATTTTAATTTGCGTACTAATTTTAATAGTTTTCAAAAATAATGATGTAGAATTCTATTTGTTTTATACTAATTTGATCTCATTTTCCCTGTAAACATACAACAGACATCCATAGAAAAGCTTTTAAAAAATTGTGTTTGACATGCGGCAGGAAAAATTAAGCATATATTTCAGTTAAAGTGACTTAAACGGATAACCATGGTTCCTTTACAAAACTAGAGGTTCTATGAGCAATGAGCTCAATAAATGATACCCCTTGCCTCCCATATGATTATACTAGTAAAGTGCATCGTATTGCTCTGGGTAACCCGAAATAAGTCTCATGCAGATCAAAAAGTAAAATAAGAGGTGCACAAAAGCATTCTGTAACAAATAATATCTGAAAGTATCGTTACATATTTGTATCAGTGGTATTATAGAGGTTGAGGATAAGAGATGGATACCTTTCAATATTACAGAAAGAATGGCAGGTCAATGTTCTGTTATGGGAAACCCGAAATATGTGTCCGAAAAAAAAATTTAAAAAAAAAAGGTGCACTACGGCTTGTATGTAACAAACATTCTGTGAGAGTCTCATTAAATTTCATTCAGTGGTATAGGGGAAGTTGAGGATTAACGATATGTACCAAAAAGCGTAACAAACTCACAGACCTACAGACAGACAGACAGACGGACGTAAAGACAGGCAGAACACCACATTCACTATATGCCCTCCCAATTTTCAAACGGGTGTATAATCAAACTTCAGGTTGAGTTTGTTACATCTTAGATTATCACTGGATTTTCTTTTCCTTTCCAAAGTCAAGGAAAAATTCTACGCAGTTTTATTTTAATTTGCGTACTAATTTTAATAGTTTTCAAAAATAATGATGTAGAATTCTATTTGTTTTATACTAATTTGATCTCATTTTCCCTGTAAACATACAACAGACATCCATAGAAAAGCTTTTAAAAAATTGTGTTTGACATGCGGCAGGAAAAATTAAGCATATATTTCAGTTAAAGTGACTTAAACGGATAACCATGATTCCTTTACAAAACTAGAGGTTCTATGAGCAATGAGCTCAATAAATGATACCCCTTGCCTCCTATATGATTATACTAGTAAAGTGCATCGTATTGCTCTGGGTAACCCGAAATAAGTCTCATGCAGATCAAAAAGTAAAATAAGAGGTGCACAAAAGCATTCTCTAATAAATAATATCTGAAAGTATCGTTACATATTTGTATCAGTGGTATTATAGAGGTTGCAGATAAGAGATGGGTACCTTTCAATATTATAGAAAGAATGGAGGACAGTGTTTTGCTATGGGAAACCCGAAATATGTGTCCGATAATTTTTTTTTTTAAATGGAAGGTACACAATGGCACTATTTAACAAACATTCTGTGAAAGTTTCATTAAATTTCATTCAATGGTATAGGGGGAGTTGAAGATTAACGATGTGTACCAAAAAGGTAACAAACGGACGGACCTACAGACAGACAGACGGACGGACGTAAAGACAGGCAGAACACCACATTCACTATATGCCCTCCCAATTTTCAAACGGGGTATAATCAAACTTCACGTTGAGTTTGTTACATCACCACATACTGAGTATGCGAACTTGTCTCGGACATGTGAGTTTATGGAAGTGACCCTGTAATCACTGGATTTTCTTTTCTTTTCCAAAGTCATGGAAAAACTCTATGCAGTTTTATATTAATCTGCGTACTCATTTTGATAATTTTCAAAAATAATGATGTAAAAACCTATTTGTTTATACTAATTTGATCTCATTTTCCTCGTAAACATACAACAGACACATTGGAAGATTTATAGATTAATCAACCTTTGCTCCTCTGAGATGTTAGTAGTTGTTTCAATACTCTGAGTTCAATATCATATCCACTTATAAAAGAAAATGTGGCGGAAATTCTAACACCAATTTGTGACTGACACGAATCTGTCTAGCTTTATTAAACCACATCTTGATGCTGATTTCTTTGATTTCCAAAAATATATTTCATAATAGTTCCGTGTTAAGTGTCACTTTAACATATAGGTTGCAATTTCTTCATGTGACTTTCCCAAAGGATAGAAAAAGATATATTTGAACATAAATAAGCAATTATGACTTTGCAAACACTTACACTCACTTTATAATGACACTGAATTGGAAAATGTATATAAATTAACCCAAATTTTCTGTACATTTGCAGGTGAGAGTTGTTTTAAATCAGTCAAGATGGACGTCAAAATGTAACTCATGTGACCTACTTGCAATAAGGCTAGCGTCTTTCAATCAAATTTTGGATCCATGGGTTTATATTTTACTACGGCGAGAAAACATTATATGTTTTGTTAAACGTACAGAGAGGCTGAAGTCGACATTAATACGCAGTTTGTCAAGTATCCATAGTTATGGAAGTGTTAAGATGGCTAGCATCAGAAGAAGCTTACGTCATCGAAAATCATCGAGCAGAAACACAAAGGAACCGGAAATGGAGGTGAACGATAATTTGATGTCCGAAAATAGCATTCATCCAACAAACACGGAACACATATAAGATTTCTTTAAGTTTTTATTTCGAACACTTGTTACCAATTTCAAATAAAGATGTAAAATTCATTTTTACAATTGTTTGTTTCATTTGCAGTATATTCTAGAAGTTAATTTACGAAAAAAATCAAAGCTAATTTGCTTTTTCAAACAGGACTTAGATAAACAAATATGAAAATAGACCCATTGATCTGTAGCATTGACCACACTTATGCGTTTATTTCCCTCGTTTCTTTTGTAATTAATCAATTAACGATTCATATTACTTTGGGTTACTTGTTTTGTATTTACTTAAGATCAATGGATACTAATTATTTTTTATTTACTGAAGATCACTTCCTCCGCATGAGTTCAGAAGGATTGATCTATATTTGATTAAAGATTAGTTTTGTTTTCTATTTATTAAAAGGTTGCTGTTTTATTTATTCAACATGAGTTAGATGTTTGCGTGTAAAGACCAAGGGTGCTAGAATAATTTCTATATGCAATCGGCACTTATCCGTAGAGCTCAAAGAGGATGACATTTTTAGGTCACATCCCATTGGTAAACCCAACAAAGATGGCAATATTCAAATTATATGTCGCTTTAAAAATTGGAAAGTAAAAAATAAAATCTACACAGCGAAACGAAAGCTAAAAGGCTCTACGATATTTATAACCGAAGACCTTACTAAATACAGACAATCAATTGTCAAAGAACTGGCAAGTGCGAAACGTGCTGAAAAAGTGCATTCCTATTGGACAAGCGATGGATTTACACAGTTGCCCGAAAAGGGTCGCAAATACATGATCCAGTCTATCAGAGATTTGTATGACCTGGCCCCACCACAGTCCTATCCACCAGAGTATGTGATTTCTGAGGACATGTAAGTCCGGTACCCATTAACTATTAAGTGGTGTTTCAATTCATCAATAAACTTGAAATCAAAAGTGTTTAAAGCAATCTTTAAATTTAGACTTTTCAAATTAATAATAACTATTAATTCATATCAGTATGGACTATTTAAGATATTTCTTGTTTACCTCTAAACTCTCCCATTACAATTACAGTATGACTACTGTTACTTGGAAAATCTTGTACATAGTACATTTACTTTTATTGTCATTCAACAATGCATCTGTCACTACGCGCCATGTTTTGACTAGTGACACAGAGGTGCCATTTTCCTCATGCTTGTTCACAATTTTTATTTTGTTTCCTTCATTATTGTTCTGTTCTTTTTTGTTTTTTGATTTCTTTCTACGCAAACTTTTTTTCAACGTTTTTTCGTTTTTATTTTTAACCAAAGGTCATACAAACTTGCATGTTTACTTATTATATGTCTCCTTGTGGCTGGTTCAAATATTGCTTTATACGTCTTTCTATGTCTTGAAAATGGCTAATACAATAGAACAATATCGGGCCGCAATCGGACTTTTCTATTGTAAGTGTAGATGTACATCAAAATCACTGCTATTTTATGTACTAAGATTTAATGATTTTGTTTATTTTTTTATTGAGTGTCTTACTTATATTTGGAATAATACCAAATGCTTACTGTCAAAAGGGGCACAAGAAACTATTTTTTTAAATTATGTGTTACAAATTATGTACTTTCTTATACTGTTGTCAGGCGACATTGAGACAAATCCGGGGCCATCTCAAAGTATACAATCCACACTAGACATTTTTCATTTAAATGTAAGAAGTATTAGAAACAAGTTTGATAAGTTTCTGAGTATTGTGTCAGATTTCGATATTTTATGTTTCACAGAAACCCATCTTGATGCTAACATTTTAAACGAAGACATTCCTATTGACGGATATAATTCAATTTTTCGTAAAGATAGAAACTCACATGGGGGCGGTGTAATTATACATGCATCTGACTCGTTGCGCACTAATAGACGCCTTGATCTTGAACCGGTGAACCTTGAATGTGTATGGGTAGAAATAAGCGATCCTACCTGCAACATCTTGCTCTGCTGTGTGTATCGTCCTCCTAATTCCGATAATTCTTTTTGGAAAAAGTTCGAATGGTCTCTTGAAAAAGCTGTTGATATATCCGATAGAATTTTAGTCATAGGTGATCTAAATGTAAACTTTCTAAATCTTCAAATCACACATGTAGTCAATGAAATTCTTTTAAAATACTCCTTTCAAAACACAGTATACGACGCTACTAGAGTCACGAAAAACACGAAATCCCTCATAGACCCAATTCTTGTCAGCGAAAATTTACATGCCGATGTACTGGACTCTGGGACAATAGATGTAGAACAATCTCTTAGCGATCACAAAGGCACATATATATATCTTAAATCACATACAGTACAAACACAATCATATGAAAGGAAAATATGGCTATATAAAAATGCAGATTTTGAGACATTAAACACACTCATACGCAATACAGATTGGAATACACTTATTAATGACGCTAAAGATATAGATCAGGCGGAGAGTAATTTCTCAACAAGTTTTTTAAACCATGTCAAAAATTGTATTCCCGAAAAAACAGTAACTATTAGGCCTAAAGATAAACCTTGGTTCGATTCCGCATTGCGAAAAACGGTTCGACAGAGAAATCGTGCAAGAGATAAAGCCCACAAAACAAAAAAAGAATCGGATAAGGATAAGTTTAAAAAACTACGCAACAAAGTAAATAACATGAAAAAAGTAGCGATGGCAAACTATTACAACAATATTGAGTCCAATCTTATCGAAGCAAGTATCAAAAGTTCTAAAATTTATTGGAAATTATTAAAAGATGTTTTTAAAACCAAGGTTAGGTCCGATATTCCACCGCTGCAGGACACTACAGAAAATGGAAATATACATATTACTTACAGCGATATTGACAAGGTTGAAGCGTTAAACAGCTATTTTGCTTCGATTTCGTCTTCGCATGATGTCGAACCTGAATTACCTGCCTTTTCTTTATTGTGTAATAGTGTTCTTAATAGCATTGAATTAGTTGAGCAGGTCATTATTGATATAATTTCTATTCTCCCTGTGAACAAGGCCATAGGACCTGACAATATTAGTCATAAAATGTTGAAAGCTACCATTTTTAGCGTCTCTTTTCCTTTGTGTATTTTGTTTAACAGATCTTTAAGGGAATGTGTATTTCCTAAACAGTGGAAGGTAGCTAATGTACTTCCTTTATTTAAAAAAGGTGACCCATCATTATTATCAAATTATAGACCTGTGTCATTATTAAGCTGCGTAGGCAAAATTATGGAGCGAGTTATTTTCAAATATGTTTATAATTATTTTCATTCTAACAATCTTTTTTATAAATATCAGGCTGGCTTTTTACCAGGCCATTCAACGGTTTATCAACTTATTGAGACATACGATTACATAGCTAAAGCCATTGATGAAGGAAAACACTGTTGTATGGTTTTTTGTGATTTGTCTAAGGCATTTGATCGGGTGTGGCATAAAGGTCTTCTCTTTAAGCTACAAACATATGGTGTTAGTGATAAGTTATTACTATGGTTTCAAAGTTATTTAGATTCAAGGACACAAAGAGTATTGCATAGGAATACTATGTCTAGTTTTAAATCTTTACATGCTGGAGTCCCCCAGGGGTCTGTATTGGGACCACTTTTATTCTTGATATATGTCAATGATGTTGCTGAAAATTTGTCGACCTTAAGCAGATTATATGCTGATGATAATTCTTTACAGAAATGTTCAGAAAATGTACATGATATTCAATTAGGATTAAATAATGATTTAAATCAACTTGAGCGGTGGTCTAAACAGTGGCTATTGAAATTTAATCCTACGAAAACCAAAGCTGTATTTTTTAGTACCAAGAAAAATGTAGATTTACCATTGCTCAAATTTCAAGATTGTGACTTAGATTTTGTATCATCACATAATCACTTAGGTATTCTCTTTTCAAACGACCTCACTTGGTCAGCGTACATTGATTCTATCGTGACCAATGCATATAAAAAATTAGGTCTACTTAAAAAACTGCAATTCAGGGTCAGTGCTAAAACTTTATCTCTTTTATATACTTCTTTTATAAGACCTCAGTTAGAATACGCAACTGAAGTTTGGTGTGGGTGTTCTAGTCAAGATTCCGAAAAATTAGAAAAATTACAACTTGCAGCGGCAAGAATAGTCACTGGTTTAACTTCATTAGCATCGCGAGATTCTCTCTATTTTGAAACTGGTTGGGAACCACTTGCTGTAAGACGAATGTCCAAAGTTAGAACAACTATGTATAAAATATATTATAACATGGTACCCGAGTATCTGAGAGAAATATTTCCAAATATTCGATCTCAAGAATCAAATTACGTAACAAGACAGTCACAAAATTATTGCATCCCGAAGTGTAGATTAAATATATATAAATCATCATTTGTTCCACTGGCAATAAGGGAGTGGAACTCCTTGTCTCTTGAAACAAGACAATCTACTACTATAGGTTCCTTCAAAAACTGTGTAAACTCTCATAGAACACCTACCCCGTCCTTATTTACTTTTGGTGATCGTTACTGGAGTGTAATTCATACTAGATTAAGACACAATTGTGTTCTAAATAAAGACTTATTTAGGTGTAATATTATTGACAGTCCCAGGGGCGTAGCAACAGGGGGGGCCAGGGGGGGCCTGGCCCCCCCACTTTTTTCCCAACCTTACCTATACTATAGGAAATGTTAATTGAAAACCTGGTTGGCCCCCCAGTTTTAGTGATGTACCGAAAATGAAGTATTAGAATTGGTACTGAAAGTAGTTGACAGTGAAAAAAAGTTAGCCTCTACCCCCCCCCCCCCCCCCCCCCCCCCCCCCCCCCCCCCCCCCCCCCCCCCCCCCCCCCCCCCCCCCCCCCCCCCCCCCCCCCCCCCCCCCCCCCCCCCCCCCCCCCCCCCCCCCCCCCCCCCCGAAATAGGATTTTCAACTTTGGGCAACTTTGAATTTTTCCCTTATTTTTTTTTTTTTTTTTTTTTTTTGCTTGTCAACTTTTTTGCAGGTAAGTAAAACAAATTTTTCTCCGACTGGCCCCCCCCACTTTAAAAAACGATGCTACGCCACTGAGTCCATTATGTACTTGTGGAAAAATAGAAGACGCATATCATTTCTTTTTCTCTTGTGCGAAATACAATACTCCAAGGAACGACCTGTTTAATGCTATTTTTAGAATGATTAACTTAAGTATTGTAGACACTCATGTTCTGTTATGGGGAGATAATACGATCAGTATTTCTGAAAATGAAAGTTTATTTTTAAATGTGCAATTGTTTATCAAGAGATCTGGTCGTTTTTGAAGTATTTTGATTCGTTTGTACATACTACATATATTTAAATTCTGTACATGCATTACCTATGTAAAATAATCTTATTGACCTTTGGTTCCAGTGTAAATTAATTTTTGAACAATACTTTGTGTAATTAATTGTTATTAAGGAGAGGACGTTCTAAGTATTAAGTACTTGTGTCCAATCCTTTTGTTACAACATCTTAACAATAAAATATGTTCAAACCAAAGACCAAGGGCCCGTTTTACTAAAGAACTTACTACTAAGACCAAAAACTTTTATTGATTGTAAATTTGCAAAATTAATGATTGAGATTAAAATTGCTATCATGAAAATATCTTTCTACATTCCTTTTAAAAAGTTTAAAACCATTTTTAATTTAATGCAAAGAGAGTTTTAAGCAGATTAAAATTTGGTCTTAATCATAAGTTGTTTTGTAAAATGCAGCAAAAACAAAAATGCCACTGTAAACATACTTGACTAAAAGTGTTCAAATGAAAACTGCTGGAAGTGGTGTAATTAATATCATTTTATCATAATTTATTGAATTCTTATGTTGCAACCTTGTTTACTGCTCTCTATCAAAGAGGTTGTTTGTTTGTTTACCTTCACTTATTTACCGTTGGAAGACTGCAATTATTTGAGTCGTTTTACTGAAGCACTCAGGACCATTGAGGATTGACGGATCTTTTGCGAGCCAACTTCACTGCGACACGAGACCTCGGTTTATACGATTTTATCCTACGGATATGTCCCGTATTACCGGTATTTCCTAGAAAATATTGGAAAATAAGAAATAGCTACATATTTATAACTTAAATCATCTTGCTTTGATAAAGACATGTAGTGCACCTTATTGTGACAGTCTAAGATATCAACCTTGTATCGCATTATAAAGAAACACGATTTCCCTAAATATTTCATTTTAAAAGATTAGAAAACGAACATATAGGTATCCCATACGAATTTTTTTTATACAAATAAAGAGGGATCTAAGAAAATTGTTAAGTTAAAATATAGTGTAAAAACCTATTAAACCTTAGAAGAAGCCTTTCAGTTCTGCTCAAGGTAATTATATCTTTCAAAACAGGAACACAAAACTATCTACAGTCAATTTGTTTAAACAACATAAATGATTGTCATATCTGCAGTGTTTATAGAAGGATTAAAACAATTACCTTCTTGGATTTATGATTAATAAACTTCCTAATTATACTAAACTGAAAAAAATTGAATCAGAAAACTTCAGTTTTGTTCTTAAAATGCAATCAAGAAACATGTTCTGCTGCAAAATACATATTGGTGGGAACCTGGAGTAGTGATATACTAAGTATTTTTATTTTAATGCAATAAGTATTTTGATACCCCGGTTACCCATCAACTGGCTAATTTCTTTCCATAATCCTTTCAACGCTAGAACACCTTATCTTATCCTCCTTCAATGAGTAGAAAGTCTGTAAAACAGTTTGTCGTGTGTTGCCACCTTTGTGACGTTTAATAGTTTGTTTGAAATTCTCAAAAGTATTATTAACAATGACATATAATTTTTAGCAGACACAAGATATCAAGATGAGAAATAAACCAATTTTGTAAAGGGAGATAATCCAAATTTATTATTTAAATTAAAGACAATCAATTTTATTCATTTTCTGTTTTTATGTTGATTTTATTACTGAACTTTGTATAAAATGAAATAAATTATAAGAGATAAATTCCAAAATTTTGTATTTCGGGGATATACCGTTATTTACCACTTGTGGTCAAAGTGAAAATGAATTATGGTACAAATACAGGCATGGTAGAATAACATCTTCCTTGTTTTCAAAAGTATGCCATTTTAGAGGGGGGAGTCATGATAATTACATCACACGTGAAATTCTAAATGATAACTCCAATGCCTTAAACACAGATGCAGTAAGGTATGGAAGACAGAATGAAATTGTAGCTAAACAATTGTTTTTTGACATGTATGCTCGTGATCATGTAAATGCAAAACTGAGACCTTGTGGCTTAAACATATCTCAGCAACATCCATTTTTAGGTGCATCACCAGATGCATATTTGTCATGCAAATGTTGTGGGAAAGGTTTAATTGAGGTAAAATGTTCCTACTCCCACAGACATGAAACACCGTATGATGTAGCAGGTGACCGTCATTATCATTTGTATAGAGACACTAATGATGTTGTCAAACTTAGAGCAGATTCACCATGGTATGTGCAGATTCAAGGACAGCTTGGTATTTGTAATGCTAGGTGGTGTGACTTTGTTTTTTATACAGACATGGGTTTTATCAGTGATAGAATTTATTATGATGAATCTTTCTTCAATGAAATTGTTAACAAGTGCAGCACCTTTTTCACAAATTATGTTCATCCTGCACTGCTTGCTAAAATGTAGATAAATTCTCTGCTGAAATTTGATGCCCTTTACTAGATTACATCGCATCTTGTATGATACACTGTATTGTGCACATGTTTTGTCTAATGATTGAGATTAAGACATCTGAATTGCAATAAGAACCACTCACTTATACTTCTATGTTGTTGACTTGTATTACATGAATATGAAAAATGAAATGCAGTTAAATATTTTATGTTTAATATTGAACATTGTTAAATCAACAATAATAAAACAGTACATGTAAAAACAACAACTTCTATATTTTTTTGATAACACCAAAAAATCAAATTAACAAATTAATAAATGTCAAATATGAAGCATCTTGTTAATTTTTCACAAGAGGTTTTGACAAATTGCATAGAAATGCAGCAACAACAAGAATCTGGCTTGCAATTGGCTTTAAGTTGATTGGTAAAATGCCAGATAACAGTTTATATGATTTCAAACGTTGTATAGCACGTTCCACATGAATTCGTAGTTTTGCTATCTGTCTTGTTTTCCGAATCTCACTCGCATTTAACCGTTTTCCTTTTCCCCATCCACATTTATGTGTAAATGGTGGTATGACCAACTTTGCCTTTCGCTCCAATAGATAGTCTCTGATGATGAAACCCCGATCAGCCATCACCTCATCTCCAGCAGATATCAAATCCAAGAAATCACTATTGGCTGTAATGTACCTGTCAGACACATTGCCACCCCACAATTCAGATACATAAGAAAACGCACCAGTAGGAGTTATACCAACAAGGCATTTAAAGGTATTATGTCCTTTGTAATTGCTGTACGTTTGGCTTTGAGCAGTAGGTGTCCTTGGCTTTTGAATGAATATTTCAGTACAGTCTATGACGACTCTTGTACGAGGAAATGTCTGTTTGAAAGACCTTGGCATATGTTTTCTGATACTCTGTAGTGATGGCCATTTCAGTTGAGGTTTAAAAACCTGGAACATATAGTTTATCCATGTACACACTATTTGTGATACTCGTGTCTCTGATACACCAAACAAATCACCAATCAAAAAGGAGGGAACAGAAAGTCTTAGTCTGAGAAGTGTTAATAAAAACTCATGGAACCTTGTCAACTTCCTCTTTGGACCTGGTTTTCTGATTTCAGAGGTTTCGTAATTCATGTTCGCTATGCTTTTCTTTCCTGACCAGTACTTGAGTTTTGTGCATACTTTGTCCAGTATTGCTGTAAGCAGAAACAAAATTTTATCTAAAAGCAAATATACAAAATACTGCAGAGCATTCAAATATTGTACAAATCAATATTTGCTGCAATTAAGAAAATAAATATTAAGTAGTATTAAGTAAATTTTAAACTAAATCCTCAAAAATCCTACCAAACAATCCAAAGACTGAAAGAGCATAGTTATGCTAGGCACGCCTAAATATCTTCTGACTGCTGAGTCGGACTGTGTAATTCTATTGACAAAATGCTCTCTGTGGATATGGTCTGTCTCTTTGGTCATAGTTTCCATATGACATATATCCTTCATGGTCAGGTCTGTCTGCACAACAAAATCAACAAAATCTTCACTGCATCTAGGTTCCACAGACTGTTTGCTGTATATATGGTCATGGTCTATAAAAATAATAACATATAATATATAATAAGTTTGATATACATGTATATTACAAACTGCATAACACATTTCAGAGTTATGCTAATGAAATATCCGAGTCATCATCCTTACTGTATTTTCCACAAGAAATATCCTCAGTCTTGGAGCAAGGTTCCTTGATACAGGTTTCGTTTGATATTTGTTCTATGACACACTCATGTGCTACTGGAAGAGGTATATGTACACCAGCATTCCCCTCACATGAAACTGTGATATCCTCCATCTGAATAAAATATATAATGCTTTGAAATGTCACATATCATTTTGAATGCATAATTTTCTTGGTATTAAACTTTATTATGCATTTATAATAATAATAAATATTTAATATTAAATTTAATATAGGCCTATATATCACATAGTATTATACCCAGTGAATAAACATGTATATATATTTTGTTAATATTAGATATCTGATTTCAAACAATTAGTAACATTGATGATACACAATATATAGCCTCATAGCATGCATAAATTTTTATGTAGGAATAAAATAATTTGTTTACCAGTAAACATTCCATTGGTGCACACTTGTTGGAATGAACTGACGTCTCCGCTACTGTAGCTGAATCAGAGGAAAAATTGGTTGGTTGACGTTTCTCGATCGAGGTTGTTGTTCTGGACTGTTTGGCGACTTTATTGCGTGGAAATAACGTAGGGACAGGATTTTCTTCTGTTGGACAACCATCTATAAAATGTCGTGAACACACGGAGTGGTAGCGTTTTGGGGCGTACTTCTCATCCCTGAAAACCTGCTGCAGCCACCTCTTTCTCAGCTTTGCCTTACGTTTAGCTCCTGGATATGGGTAGAACTGCACTCCCCTCATCCACGGATATTTAATTAAATTTGCCTTTTTCCTGCCATCTGATGTGCAACCCGGCACGGAACACCAATAATGACTTGGTTCGTCTCCATGCTTCTCACTTTTTCTCTTTGGGGGCTTGTTTTCGTCTGCTTCGTTACACTCCATTTTGTTTCGATGTCAACAAAATATGCCCTACATTTCAGCCTTATCACGTGACAGCGGTGTATAAAATCCGAACGTAAACAGCCATATCCGGAGTATCTCGAAAGTTCCGTATTCCCACCACCGGTATTTCCCGGCCAACCCTGGTTATACACAGGTCAAGTCCATGTTTTGCACAGGGAGACCCGAAATAGGTGTCAGTACAAAATGAAAGAATCTGTGAAAGTATCATTAAATTTTATTCAGTGGTATAGGAGCAGTTGCGGTTAAGAAATGGGTACCATTCATATTATAGAAAAAATGGCAGGTCAATGTTTTGCTATAGGTAACCCGAAATGTTGTCCTATCAAAAAAATAGAAGGTGTACAATGGCACTATGTAATAAAATATCTGTGAAAGTCTCATCAAATTTCATTCAGTGGTATAAGATGAGTTGCGGATAAGGGATTGATACCCCAAGGGGTAACAGCTAGACAGACAGAGGTCCTGCTCACTATAGTATATCCTCCCACTTTTCAAGCGGTGGTATAAGAATTATGACATGCTTTAGTTAATTGTTAGTTTTTCAATCAGTTAACCTACAATATGAATCCCAGTTTGTTAATAACAATTACTTTCTGCTACCTAAATTAATGCATGTTCGTGTATCTAAACATTATTTTTGAAAGATTTCTCTAAACGGTACTTCCCAAAGCAATTCGAAACCTAATATTAATTAATTGAATGTAATGTATTCTCTTCCATTTCTCAGGGGAGTAATATTCTTTTGGTTTCTTATCAATTCCTTGAGTATACGTCTCAAAGACAAGTTCACTTTTATTCAATAAATCAGATAGAAATTAGATCATATGGCAATTCTATTCTTTTAACCTTGTGCGTGTACTCCTGGGATATTTTGTTCTAATGCACGGAACCTCAATGCATATTTGAATATATGAGAATAATACACCTTTACATTATCTTCATTTAATAAAAATGCTAGCATTACATATCCTTACTTTATTTACCTTCGATGAAACAAGGGATTGATCATAGTGTTCCTTTTCATCTGTCCGTCTCATTGTCAGCCCCGCTGTCTGTCAGACTGTCTGTTCAACTTTGTTTTTACTGTAGTACCTGCATATTGTGTTGATTTTGTGAATGTGAGTCTTTCCTGATAAGCTACGATAAAATTTGTCTTTAATGAATTTTGACAGAATTACGTCATATCAGGTAAGCATTCAGTATCGCTCATGTGCAGTACAATGAACATTTATAGCTGTTATGTAAATTGACTATAAAAAATTGAAATTTTAAAACTTTTAAAACAACTAATAGCATACAAAAATGATTCTTTTTCCTACGCATTTTACGACAACTCCTCATGTTGAATTAAAGAACAGACTTTTTGACATCGTCGCTTTAGAAAATTGTTTCTTCAGTAAAAAAATAGGACTCTTTCCGTTCATTTTCATATCATATTTAGTCATGTACAAAATGTCTTTTATAAAAGTACTCTGAAAATGATATTTTAAAAAAATACCTGACCTTGTTATATATATTACCTATATAGTTTTCTTCTGGCAATCTGTTGGAAATTGGAAGGGAATTAGCCGACCAGACACTTTATATAAGTGATGCGGAATATTACTGCATAAATAAGGAACGTTAACAATGGAAAATCTGTTATCATCTCGTTTTTCATTCAATTTAGTCCTCAGTTTCCGTTTGACATTCATAGCTAGTAAAGCATTGAAATTTGAAACAAATATGGTAGATTCTATGATATCTCTTACTTCAAGTTACTGGGATGTATCGAGTTGACATATGAATAGAATTACAATTGTTAAATGGGGGGAAAAGTGTCGATATATATCTGAGTTTCGAATGGAAGACCACAGCAACTATTTTCCTATTCTCAAGTAGAATAAATTCTGCTGCATAGGAATATATAAACAAGTCGGCTTATTAAATACCACATCTAATCCCATTGTTGGAAGACTAGTTGTCTCCGAAAGCTACACAATCGAAAGATGCAAATAATTGTTGTCAGTGGAACAGTACTCTAGCATCCTTTTAATTCCAATTACAAGCCATTAATTCATTAAGGGAATCAGAGTGATTTGAACCCTGGACAAAGGAATTTTCTTAATGACCAAGCACAAGATGTTAAAATTTCCTTTTGTATTAAAAAAAAGCAGTTGCGTATGATATCAAAAAAAGATACTTTTAATACCTACATTGTGTTTTATTAATTTTAACTTTTACTAGAATATTATTTGTAAGCAAGTGGATCTATGTTTTTCTTAAGTCTTAATTAACATGATTACATTGAAGTATTCCACATATTTTCTTTTGTAACGATAACAGGAAAAAATTAGTAAACGAATCTTTCATCATGGATAGAGAACTTTGTTTAAACAAACTCAAAATAATCGGCCTAACAATGATCCATTTTAATTGAAATACCAAATATTTTAATTGTAATACATGTTAGAGTTTGCATCTCAATTTCAACTCAATTTAATGAACTGAACATTTATATACAAACATTATACATTTATGCATTTTAGATTTATTCAATCATAATATCAAAATAATTACATCCACTTCCCCCCTCCTCTCTCTCTCTCTTTCTCTCTCTCTCTCTCCTTCATTAATTAGCCACTTATGTTTTTAAACTTTGTTCTAAAAAAGCTACATTCTAGCATTTAAAGAATGCTTTTTGTTTCTTAAATAACCAACATGGAGCCCGTTTTCTGGCACCAGGATCATGAAACAAACTTAGACTGAAGTCAAATTTTCAATGACTTGTAAAATGTTTATTAATTATTAAATTAATCTCAAAATTTGCAATTTACAACACTTTTGTGAATCAAAATTGAAACATATTTTGATTTTGATCTGCTTTACTTCCACATTTTTTTAAGTTCAAAATGAAGATTTGGACTTAAGCTTAAGATGTTTCATGATCCTGGGGCCTTTGAAAGGTAAAAGAAATAGTTAATGTATGATTCTGTTATAAAAATGCTTTCATAAAAATTCTCTGCTAATTCTTTTTTAAAAAGATTTAAAATATTTTCAAATTGAAGAAAAAGGTTAACCGAAATATAACATTTTATTCTTAGTCGTAAAAACTTTTGTACAATAGGTCATTGATCTCTGACTTAAGACGGACAATCGTCAAAGAACATTGACAAGTGAGAAATAGCCTTAGATACCCTGAACGTGGTTGATTACTTCTTATGATTACACTTTTGACAGAAAAAGAAACTCTGCTGGATTCCAAAGCTTATTTCCTATTCTATTTCACAGAATGAAACAAATGTGATGCTAGAATACAAATAAAGCAAAGCGTTGCTACAAACTTTGAAAGAAATGTCAAAGACATGCTTTTAAAAAAATGGTCGTCGAGATCTTGAATCATTTAGCAAACTTTGATTTTTTTTCATCTAGGAATATTTTCTTACTACGGCTAATCAACTTTGAAAAGGTCAATATACTATTTTTAGGTCACCTGAGTAAACTCAGGTGACCTATTGCTATCCGTTTTCGTCC